AACTTCAACAGTGCAATCTCACGTTTGACTTCTGAGCGAGAGGGTGGATCCAAAGGGACAGCCCACGGAGCGGGACGATCAGTGGCCGGCGAGGAATCTAACGATTCCGACCGATTAAATTGCCTTTCAAAGTCTTCAGCCCAACGCTCCGAGCGTTTTGACAAGTTGTGGATAGGCTGTCCACTCTCGTCACATATAGTTTCACTAACACCAGGTCTCCTGCTGCCCGTTTCCCGTATCAGACGGAATAACTTACCATGGTTACCAAGGGAAGCGGCCATTTCCATCTCTGATGCACGATGAGACCACCAGGATTCGCGGTCTCTCTTCAGGCTAGCACGGAGTTTTGCCCGGAGCTCTTTGCGAGTTTCATTGTGTTCGCTTCCAGCCGGAATATGCCGGCGAGCATCTATAAGTTCCAGAGACTGTGAAGAGACCCAATGTCCATGTTGGCGATTAGACTTACCACATGAGGATTTGCCTGCTGCAAGTAAGGTCTGGTGAATATGAGACCAGTGACCTTCAATTGCATCCAGTGAGCGTTTATCCAACTCGCATGACAGCGTACTTTGATATGCATTCAGAGCAGCTGGTTTCGTAAGTTGGATGGTGTCAATGCGCTCACAGCGTCGTCGTGGGCGTACGCGAAAGCGCATTCGCAGGTCAGCACATACAAGTACATGGTCAGTGTCCCCACCTTGCTCCAAATCGAGCGACAGTTCTGGACACAGCCTCTACATCGGTACCTGATTGCAATGTGATCGATTTGCGTCCATAGCTGGTTCGAGGCTGGTAAGCGCCAAATCACCCTCCGGCGGGTGCTGCGTCGAAAATTAATGGTCGCAAGAAATAAGCAAGCATCCTCACACAGATGAAGTAACCGCTCATCGTTATCCTTACAGGAGCCTAGACTATGTTGGCCACCTAGATGCACTTCATCAGTTGATAATTTTCCAATTTGAGCGTTCAGATCCCCAGCCAGCGGATAGTATCATCAGTGATCCAGTCCTTCACTGGCTTGAAAGTAGAGCCCAGGATAGATAAACTGGCGCGTTGAACTGATGATTTTAGCCTAGACCAACGAACGTCTACAGATTTTTCCTCTGCAAGTACGAGGCGTGGTGCACTGGCAGACATTTTCGCTTCTATGGTTGCCTCAACTGATCGGCAACTGTCAGTATTTCCCAGTGGAGCAGTGTTGATAATCTTTAGTGGAAGTGTCTTTTGGCGCGTTGTCAAGCGGAGTCTGAATTTGTCGGGCAGGACTACGTGGTCCGAACTACCTTTACTGCCTGTTTTAGCCCCTCTGTACGCTCGACAGTCATCGATGGAGGACATCCACCTGGATCGGTTTAAGCTCTAACCTATCTGGCTTGTTGTACGACCATCGTTGGATTACCACGTCAGATGTTTTCTGGAATGCTGGAAGCGATTATTGGTTACGCACAACCCTTTAAGGTCAGCGAAGCTGAGTAAGTGGTCTCCATTATCATAGCAGTCTCCAAGAGCGTATCCCGAGTATTTGACGGGTTTGCTCGTTCCTAGGACCGATACGTGCATTCCAGTCTCCAACGATTTTGAGGATGTCGCGTTTTGGAACATAGTTCACCACTGTCTGTAGAGTACCGTAAAATTCGTCTTTGTCACTTTCCGCTGAGCGCAGGGTTGGTACGTAGACAGAGCTTATGGTCAGATTCATCGGGTGACGTTTGAAGCATGCAACTGTTATTCTAGCTGATACTGGCTTCCATGAAAATAGAGTGTTGTGTGCCTAACAACTGAGAGCCATGGCGACCCATGATTGCCAGCATTAACTTCCGGCCTGCTGTAGTAAAGCCAATATGAGGTGTCTACACCAGGGACTTTGATTCGTCGAGAGCCATAGCCAGGTATTCGAGATTCTGACAGGCATACTATGTTGATCTGGTAGTCGTGTAGTATGCGCATGTTCAACGCTTGACTGCTAACTCCAACAGGGTTATGATATTCCAGCATTCAATGAATAGTAGCTTCCGGGGATTGAAGGCCCCAGCTAGCTTACTTGTCACTCTGGCCACTGGGTCAGCACAAAGTACGTCGCCTACCGGGAACGCCGTACCATGAGAAGAATCTCGGGTAACGTACATGTCAAAGTTTTTTGGGGATTATGGGTACGTATGAGGACCCCAACCTTATCCGGATTTTGTTCGAAGTTTCACCTCTGGCCTCTGCGCAGTCAAATCCTACCTGCAAGGCAGCAGGGATCTGGGTAATTGTCTTACCTTCTGGCCGTTGGATCGGAGGTTGATCTCTTCCATCCAGTTGTCAGGACTGACGTTGCACGCGGGTACGAACTTACCGAGAATAGTGTTCCGGCTACCCTCACCTGGTTTGGCCTGTCTGCCTGACGCTTGACTGGGGTGCGGCCGCTGGCGCTTGTAAACAGCTTCTTGGAGCCACAGGTGAGAGCTGGGTGACAGATGGAGACTAAAGATAGACGGATTACCCTAAAGGGTAAGGCAGGTCCCCAACCAGAGGTGCTACTTTTCCCTGGCATTCCGGACGCCCCCTTTTATGAACGGGTTCCCTTAGCAGTCCCCAGGAGGTGTACAAGGTACCTTTGGTCTTCTAATACCACATTCAAGCCTTTAAAATAATATGCGCACAGGTGCATCTTTCCGTTTGGCTTCTTGACAATCACTATAGGGACTGTCCATGAAGAGTAATTGGTCGGTTCAATAACTCCCGCTTACTTTAGCCTCCCAACTTCTTGCTCGGCGACCAAAACTGCTTCATGTGTAACCGTCTGCTCTGCCTCCGACCTCAAGAACGAATTTTTCTTGGTTTTCATGCACAATCCACGACCATCCTTAAACACTTGTGCATTCTTCCTCTGCATACTCCCCGTCCTATTCGCAGCTGTACAGTCTGGTTTCTTGCACACGGATTTTGAGGGACGTCAAGTGGTTTCATCTTATCCATCTGGTCGATACCAAGTAATTTCATTTAAGGGTATCTTGTTGCTTGCCAGATCCCTTCCAACTATCAGTAGATTTCATCGGCCAAGCTCAGCACTCCTTTTGAAGCGTTGTCTGCAACTCGATTTGTTCCCTGTATACGTGGTTCACCGATTTGACCGTGATATCCGAGCCAGTGTCAATTTGGAAGCGCACGGCCACTTGGTTCACAGCCATTGTAACGGACCTGCATTTTGCGGCCTTGGTACCAAAGGTAGCAAAAACAAGATAGCACTGAGCTCATTATTGTCTGTATAAAAACGTACTGAAGTACATGATGGCGATGTTACTCTTGAGGATAACAGGACGGTAATGATCCTCCTTGTATCCCTGTTCGTTGCATTTCTGACAACGATGTTTCTCGGACCAAAAGGAAGTTGACGATGTTGTGATATCTGGAATTTTGTACTCCATCAGACCTCGGGCGATATTTTCGGAATTCTGCTTACCGCTACCTACATCTGTTCGGGGTCTTGCCTTCTGACTGTCGATAAAGGGCTCCCAATCTTGCCGTTGTCTCGCCGTTGTCTTGAATCGTGTCAGTATTCATGCTTCCCACATCCCTTCTCCAGAGTGGACAGTTTGTGTACCTCTTGTTCATCTGTTTCACCTGTTATCCTTACTACCGTTGTTTTTTAACCCCATTCCGAACTACGCTCTAGGTTAACTGATATGTCTAGTGGATCGATCTTGTGTCCGCCCATGCCGCCGGTCATCAGCCATTTAGCTCATCGTGCTTTAATCAACTGGTCCGGTGGCGGTCATGGAATCCTTAGTCTACTACTCCAGTGGCTTCATAGGAGATGTCATTCACTTTTCTATGTTACTCCATTCTGATTTACCCTATAAGCGTCACTTCCTGCTTAGGTTTTTAATCAGATTCCTTCTTCATCCCTCCTCAATTGGTCTCGTTATCTCGCAATTTTTAGGGCAACAGCCTGTCAGTGCAACCTATGCATCTATTGATGTTCATATTACTAGAGCAAGTCTCTCTATTGTATGTTTTATAAACCCCTGGTCTGTTGACCCCTTCTTTCCAGCGACCTTTTGCTTGCTAATGTGGAAAGGCTTATGCTCGGGGGCAGCATTTGCGTCGTCATCAGGTGTCCTGTTCTCGGCATTTGAATGCATCGAAGATTCACGTGAATGGCAACGCCGATGGTGAAAGTGTTATCCCACCTCCTCTCAAGAAAAGCTATTTCTGCCCAGACTGTGAAGCAGGTCCCTTTCGGCAGAAGAAGATGGTTTGGGCCCATGTAGCCATCGTGCATCGGTGAGGCATGTTCTACATGTCTGCTTTTTGTTTTCACCTTCCACGCCGTATTTTCACTTTGACTATCATATATGCTCTTCCCTTCCTTTTTATTCACGATCCATCATTTAGAAAGTATATCCAAGAACTCAGACTAGGTTCATGCGTAAGAATACTGGCAGGTAGGTCTTATCTGATCTGTCTTCCCACATTAGCTAACAACTATTCGCTGGTTCGACCCTCTTCTCGCAGAATTCTCTACTTAACACCACGCACTGCCTCTACTTCCCAGCGTCGAGTCGCAGCCACGTTATTTCTATCGGATGAATACTGAATGGAAGCAACAAGTAGAGGTATATCAGTGCAGCTGCAGCCATAATACTTCAAGCACAATCTGGAGGGTATCACCTATAGTTCATGTCCGTAAAGTACTTGTCCAGGAATTTCTTGAATTTTAACACCGACTTTGCCTCGACTACATGCGGCAGCAAGTTCTTCCATTTATTCATTACTCTTCCTTCAAAGCAGAGCTGATGGGCGATTCGCTTAACATCCGGTACTACAAGCTTGTACCAGTCTTATTGTGTACTTTTTTAGTGTGCGCATATGAAGCAGAGCCTCAAGATGGGGTTATCACCAAGATGTAATGTCACGTGCATCATAATGAGATCAATCCACACTCGACTATAAGACAGGGTTTAAAGTCTTAACCTCGTGCACTTGTCTTCGTAGGGTGCACCTCGTAATGGGGGGATGATCCTGGTGATGGGATATCGATAATGACTTGTGGATCAGCTTGTTGATTCTATCAGGCCCAGCAAGCTTGCTACCCTCAGGACTGACAATCCTCCTGTCCGCATTTGGCTCAATGCTTTCAATGATTTTCTCTGAATTCCGGCAAGTTCATCGGCCTTTCGTATATCAGTGTCCTGTGCAGTGACGGCTGACAATGCCATAAACAGTAGCTCCTGCGCTATATGTGGTGGTGAAATCCTATCCCACGAATGCTCTTGGTGTAATTGGATGAAAGCTCAGTGGATGTTCATCCTGACATATTGCTTGACGTTGGGTTTAGACAGCTTCTCATTTATCAGTTAGGTGAATTTTTTTTATCGTCACCGCGCTTGGCTTGTGGGGAGAAGCACTCCCGCTATCGTGTCGGAACACAATTCAATTTTGTGATGCTAGTAAATGAAAGAGAAGTAAATGACAAAAGCGGAACAAAATTTGCTGCATGCTTTATTTTATATAGTGGAATCATTTCATGCCCCTCCCACTAAAGTTTATGGAAGCTCGGTAGTGGGCCAAGACATGATCTGAGTGGACACACGTGTGGTCGAAAACTAGCGGTACGCAACTACGGAACCATGTCACCTGAAGCTTTTCACGAGGTGGTAACTTTGGGTTCCTCTGTAGTCAATTGCCAGAGGATACCGAATGGCTTCTAGATCCCCATGATATTTGATTAGAAGCAGCTGATAGTCGACGCACAGTTGTAACAACCGTGCACCACTATCCATACACTCAAACCTGGTTCGGTACACCTCTCATAGCTGATTGACTGAAGAGTCTGGACCATCTACTTGTACATTCATATCGCATGCAGTTAGAGCTACATCTTAGCTGTTAGCTGGTTCGCTTCATGGTAACGATTGTCTAGTAGCATGGGACTATAGTCGGTTGAGGCATATGCAAGTGAAATGAGCAAACTTCACCCCATGCTGTTCAGCGCGCTAATCCTTTTTGACGTTATCGAGTCCAATCAGCCAACCTGGGGTCATTTCTGGGGCTGAGAGTAATCGCACCTCTGGTATGCTAGCTGACGGGTTACTTGACTCTCTTGCTCTTGATTATCTATACTCGTCGCATTTTCCTATGCTTATTTATTGTTATACACACGTCCTATCCTAAACCATTCATACGGATTCCTCTTCCCGATAGTGAACGAAGGCACGTGTGTGAACAGTGTCCTAAGGCTTTTCCGACCAAGTCGAAACTTGCTCGTCATTCCGCCAAACATCATGGGTTCACTTGTTCCAAATGTGTCTCCGCTTCCACCGTTACTAGCGACGCTGCTTCCATAATTGAGTCCCTCCCAAAGTTTGACACTTTCGCCGCTCTCAGACGTCATATTGCCCTTGTTCACCCCAAACCGAGTGAGTTATTCCTAACCATCACTGTGGAAGCTTAGTCTGATCCACAAATACTTCTCCTTCGTGCTAGGTTGCTTTCATTCGAAATACGGCTTTTTCCCCACATTCATCACAAATCTAACCTGATCACGGTTTACTGCTGCAGCCTATCCGTCCAGTTTGTATGCTACTGGTGGTCTACCAATCTGGAACGCTTATCCCACGGCGACCGGGCTGTTAGCAACGCTTTACTTGCATCATGAATTGCCACGCATATTCACCACACGTCCACTTCCATGCTCTTTGGCATCGATGCCTTCTTTTTTATACGCAATTTCTTCATACTCACACCCTTCATATTTAATTGCAGAAGTAATTTGTTGCTAAGTTTCATGTGATCCATTCCCAACGCAGCACTCGATGACCCGTTTCGTCCTTCTTTGAACTCATGGAAAGAATCGGGACTGGGAACGAAACACCGGACATATCAACTGACAGTTGACACCCTGTTCGCTTGGTCTGCCACCAAATGCAGGGTTTCCAACGAGCAGCACCAGAATCTCACTACTTCGGATGCGATCCCAGTAATTGGATTGATCAAGCTTTGCTTCGAAGTAAACCGCACTTCAAATTAGAATTGTTCGTCTCAGTCCAGTGATCCTCGTTCCGGTATGCCTCAAGATACGGCCACCCATGCAACGCGCCGGTCCAGCCGTATTCTGGAGTCCATCGATATTGATGGTTACCGTCTTTCCGAAACCCGATTGCTGTGCTTACGTTGACATTCGTACCAATCACGGAGTCACATATCACTTGGGTCTTCCGGGTGACCCAGGAGCATCCCCAGTGGATGTAAGCTAGTCTGCATGTAGCATTAAATGGCAGGGCCGAAGCCACACTGTTGGACTGGTTCCCGGTTAACAGCCGACAGTTCGATTTCGGGATTCATGTAAAATCAACAGGCATCGCAAATTGTTTGCGATCTCAGCGTGCGTTCCAGCTGACTGCCCTTGTGACTCGGTCGAGATGGCTCCAAACAAGAGCTTTGCATACTTTCTCCAATACGTGAGTCACACTACCATGAAAAGCAAGCTGGTTTCCGTCCCGGCCGTGGATGCGTGAAGCAAATCTCCACGGCCGGCCAACTCCTCGATCACTGCCACCTTTATCACAGGGTCACCATAGTCGCATTCTAAGACCTACGAGCTGTATTTGATTCGGTTGACTGACCTGATTTACGGCCTCGCTTATTAAAGAACTGGGTATCAGAGAAGTATGTCGCCATCGTACGTGCACTTTACTTTCACGTCTCCGGCAGAGTGATCATTTACGGCAAACCTTCCTTACCCTTCGCTGTCCGTAGCGGTGTGCGACAGGGCGGCCTAATGTCCACGTTCCTCCTCAATTTCGCAATCAAAGACGCCTTGTCGCGAGCCCAAAAAGTTTTCTGAAATGTTGGCTAAGCGCTTCTGCCGGGTGGACGCTCGACCGACTTAGATTATGCTTTTGATATTGTCTTATTTGGTGATAATCCGCATAGTGTGCAACATCCTGAACCGTTTGTTGGTTGAGTGTAGCATGTGCTTCACCCCATCGAAACCCAAAGTGTTGCTCCAGGATTGGCCCATACCTGCTTCTGTACTCACCCATGAAGTTGCACAATCTGAGCAGGTAGATTGATTCGTCTAACTTAGGAGCTGTGTTTCTGCTGACAGCTCTATCAGAAGGGAAGTTTCTCTTCGCATCGCTAAAGCCCGATCAACATTTGTCATTCTGAGGCACTTGTGGTGTGTCATATCTCATTCTCGATAAAGGGCCTTGTTTACAGTGCCTCTGTTGGTTCAGTGTTGTTGTATGGCCAATTCGCGTGGAGGACATGCGCCAGCTTTCCGCCTACGACAGCAATTGTTTACGGAGCATCTCTCGTGTATGGTGGTAAAACCGAGTTCACAGCGATGCCGCGTCCTGATGAATACGAGTGTTTCTCTTAACAGACTGGTTTTGCTGCTCTAATTGAGATTGCTCTGGGACGTCCTACGCATGACGCCTGTGCGGATACCGCGTCACACCCTATTCCCTCGTGCAGGATTGGGTTGGAGGCAATCACGTGACGGTTAGCCTTCCACTTGGCGGCAGCACATAAAATCGTTAACGTTACGTCTAGCCGCTGTTGGACCCATACGTCTTCCTGAGTGTGCAACCAAAATAGAGGAATTGCATGACTCACTTGGAAAGGTGGCCCGCAACCGGAATGAGTAAGAGAACCGTGTGTGCAGATTGGCAGGTCATTTTGGTGCACTCATTGCCTGAATGGATTGCGCCGCGCAACCTAACTGTGGATCACGATTCGCATTGAAGTGAACCTGGATCAATCCGATCACTGGGATCGTGACTACTGAGGCGGATGAGTATTGTCTATTACCCGTTTGAAAACACTGAACTCCACTGTATAGGTAATTGTCTTCTTTAATATACTTAGATATTAGAAATGGAAATCGACATGGAAAACTAATACTACCTCCTCTCGCATTTGATCACATTGTACTTCTCTCATTTCCATATTTTTGTTTTCGATATATATAAATATATATATATATATATATATATATATATGCACAGGACTACTAACGCTGAACTCAAACCTCCCCTCCGGAAAAATCGCTGGGCCGTAGTCCGCTCCACGTTAGATAGAACCACTCTTTGAGTCTAGCGCGGTCACGGGGACCGTGCACCACACCCCCCAGCAAAGATGAGCAGTCTTCTGGAGCCAGTAATCGAGGTGGAGGGTATATCACAGGTGGGCACCTTGTCAACAAACACATCAAACGCAGCCACACTGGGTGTATCAAACAACCAACACGGAATTTAAAGGAAACTAAACACGCAACATCGACACGGAACATACTGCAGAATAACAACTGAGCAAATCAAATCAATAAATAAAAGTTAAGAAGATCTGGTTTAACTATAAGATGGTGTAGCCCAACTGCGATGAAGAAGCATGTTGTATGCAACCTTAACCTCAGCATGAGGCATATATATATATATATATATATATATATATATTATATATATATATAAATATATATATGGTTGGCGGCATCCGGTTTCGGATTTGCCTGTCACTGTGGCCAGCCACAGGACGCCTGCGCCTACAGAGGGACCATGGATGGCTTGCACTGCACCAACCACAGCTCCAACCACACACCCCATATCCAGTGTAAACCCGAAGGAATAAGACCGGGAGGCATGTGGATGGGAACCACGTTTCATCAACGGAGCCGGCCCACACTCCTTCACAGGCAAACACAAGCACGCTGTATTTGGGGAATCAAGCGCACACAAGGCGGTGGCTGGACCGTAGTCCGCTCCACACTGAGTGCATGGAACCGCTCTTTGAGCCTAGCACGGCCACAAGAACCGTGCACCCCGTCCCCTCCAGCATCGACCAACTGTCTCCTGGAGCCAGTATGAACGATGTAGTAGGTAATAGACAGGTAGGCACCTTGTCAACATACACATCAAGCGCAACCACACCGGGGATATCAAACAACAGCCATTCACTTTAAACGACAAGCTGAAATAAAATAAATCCAACAATGCATACAGATACGGTGGCATAACTCTTCGCTAATTTACCATATGAAGTAACTGCGTTAACAACAAATCCGTGATAAGTAAGAAATGTCCACAAGTTACTTAAAAATGCTACAAAACGCAACAAAATTACCGAAGATAAGCACAATTAGTGTATGCAACGTGGCCAGTTAATAGAACATTATTCAGGGAGGCAGAACAACCCAAATAAAGCGGAATGAAATTTATCCAGCTTAAAAAGACCTAGTTTAAGTGTAAGTTGGTTTAGCCCAACTGCGGTGAAGAAGCATCAAGAATGCAACATCAGCCTCAGCATGGGGCACATATATATATATATATATATATATATATATATATATATATATGTATATATATATATATATATATATATATATATGGTTGGCGGCATCCGGTTTCGGATTTGGATGTCACTGTGGCCAGCCACAGGACGCCTGCGCCTACAGAGGGACCATGGGTGGCTCGCACTGCGCCACTCACAGTTCCATCCACACACCCAATATCCAGTGTAAACTCGAAGGAATAAGACCGGGAGGCATGTGGATGGGAGCCACGTTTCATCAACAGAGCTGGCCCACTCTCCTTCACAGGCAAACACAAGCACGCTGTATTTGGGGAATCAAGCGCACACAAGGCGGTGGCTGAACCGTAGTCCGCTCCATACTGAGTGCATGGAACCACTCTTCGAGCCTAACATGGCCACAAGGACCGCGCACCTCGTCCCCTCCAGCAACGACCAACTGTCTCCTGGAGCTAGTATGGGCGAGGTAGTGGGTAATAGACAGGTAGGCACCTTGTCAACATGCACATCAAGCGCAGCCATACCCGGGATATCAAGTAACAGCCAATCACTTGAGAGAATGATAATAAAGAAAATAAATCGAGTAATGCATAAGGAAACGGTGACATACATCTTAAATTAATGAGCATATGAAATAAGTTGTTTACAAACGTATCCTAGATAAGTTCACGAGATCAGAAAGTATGTTTTACGGGAATACCACAAACACGAAAATGTTATCGAAATTAATTACAATTGGTTTAAGCGACGTGTGCTAGTTTCTAGAAGAGAGTACAGGTAGACATTTATATGAGAAAGAAAATCACTAGGGCAAAATTGCAAACCCACCACGGGAAATAGACTTAGCATGCAAGCACGCGGTTCCTAACTCGAATGCAGCGTACCTAAAAACGCTGCGCCGGTTCTGCCTACGTTTTCTGCGGGACCCGTCGTCGCTTCGGTAGTGGTCCCGTGTGGCCTCGCTCATGGCTCCCTAAGCCTGCCTGACTCAGGCACTCGCGACCACATGTGCTACAGCACCACGCGCTCGATGTCGATGGAGTACAATCCATTGGTGCTTGCCGCTTCCGCAATTGCCGCTTCTTCTCTGCATGTATGAGGTCTTTCTCTCGCACTTCGGCAACTGCCTTCGTGATCAGATCG